GGTGGGGTCGTGGAGGGAGTGTAGAGAGAAGAGGTCCTAGCGCAGAGTGCTGGGGAGCACCCTCCACTAGTGCATATGACCCGGAAGAGCACCCAGCCAATGAGGCAGAGAAGGACAGCCTCGACTGGGAGACCGGGAGACAGTGGTGCAGGGCGACACTGGGAGATGTCTAGCAACTGGTTCTCTTAAAAAAAAGAGAGTGTGAATGACACACTTTTAAATTTAATCCGCTTAAATCTAGGCAATCAACAAAACGGTAAATCAAGCCCTGATTCGATTCGTAGCATTTGCTAATTTCTAAGGGCTCACCCTGAAAATTGAACCATTGGCCCCGGGCAATGGGCCCTGGCTCCAGCTTGGCCCTGGAGGAGAGTCACAGAGAAAGCAAGGGAGGAGAAAGTGCCCAGAGAGCTCGAGAAGCAGACTGGAAAGACCAGTGGATCACTGCGACCTTTGGGCCTCAGGGGGCCTCAGAGGCCCCTTCCAGTTTGGGAGAGGCTCGCACAGTGAGTAGAGGGGCCCCCCAGTTTGGCCACCAGGTAAATTAGGGTTTTGGCTGCGACTCATGAAACTGTCGACCAGGACGTGGAGAGGGGATCCGTGGGGCCTGTGGGGCCTCAGGAGTATTTTATTGACCCCACAAGGACCTGAGAGTTTATCTACTCCATCCTCCCCCATATTTTCCAAATGAGGAAATTGATCCCCAGAGACATAGAGTGATTTTCGCCAGGTTGCGCAGAGAGCAAAGCAGGGGCTTTAGGATTTGATCTCAGGACCTCTGGCTCCAGATCTGGTGCCTCTGATCTGCCCGAGGATGTGCCCACACTTCTGACATCACAGACATTGTGAAGCATTGAAATGTCAGTATCAACCGAGTGTGTGTGTGTGTGTGTGTGCACGCGCGCGTGCGCGCGCGCATGGACGCATGCATTTATATGCCTATATGTGTATGCATGGATGTGGTTGTGGAGAATCATATAGTATGTTAAACCGGATAGAGACGATGCTTGGCTCGTTTGCTGCTTGGGCATTATCTCCTCTGTTAGTACAGGAAATAAGAGAACAGGCTGTTTGTGAAAAGCTTTGAAATGAACATCCTGAAAGCCCAGGGACCTCAGGTAGTGGGGCACTGTGTTGGTAGTCAGGTCTAAACAAGGGATCAGAGCAGAGGAAAGCAGAGGCCCGAGGACCCTGGAGCACAGACACTGCAGAGGAGTGAGAAGGGACGTGGGTGACCCTGTTGAGCCACTCAACCTTTCTGAGCCTCACTTTTCTCTCCTGTGAAATGGGGATGATTGTTGTGCTGGCTACCTCACTGGTCTGTTTGGAAACCATTTTGTCAAAGACTATAGAAATGTGAATAATTTGAATGTTCTTAAATCCCCTTTAAAGTCCAACTTGTGTTGCTTCCCACAGCCTCCTCTGACCACCTCCCCCTTCCCATTTTTTCTCCTGTCCCCTTTACTTCTTCTTTCCTGCCCCTCACCTCTTCTCCCCTCCTCCCTCTCCCATGAGCCTTTCCTCAAAGCACCGTTTGTCTGTCTCTGAGGTCTGTTTCATGTACGGGTATATCATCGTCTGATACGTATCTGTACTGGGACCCACCCTCCTGCTGGACTCTGAACTCCAGGAGGGCATGGACCGTGTCTTTGGAATTTTGTGCGATCTCCAGTGCCAAGGACTGGGCCCTGCACTCCTTTGCATAATGGGATAGGGAGCTAACAGAGACCTTTAGCTGGATCTTAGTTAGAAGGAAACTGAGTCCCAGAGATGGACAATGACTAGCCATGGACAAAGGGCCGACAGAACTGGGATGCCCCAGGGCCTCTGACTCTGAATCTAGGGCTCTGTGCACCCATCCCCCCTCGCCCTCCATCCCCCCACTCCCAGCTGCCTCTTCACAGAGTAGTTGAATGTCTCAGCTGAAGTGAATAGATTTCTCATCCAACAGTGCTCGGAAAATTGGAGTCATTGCCATGTGCCATGCTTTGAGGTGAAGAAGGACTCTCTGAAGTGTAGGAAGATGAATACCACCCCTTCCTGATCAGGAATTCTTGGGTTATTGAGCAAGGGAAGGCTGAGCAGGCCAAGGGGCAGGGGGAGGGGTAGTGGTGGTGGGGTCCGGCCCCCAGCTCCCAATCCTCCTCACGTTCCCCTCCCTTGGAAATGGAAAATCTGGCTTCTGCTCTGCCACTCGCAGAGGCAGACTCAATGATTATGGTCAGAATACCAGTAGACCTTTATCACCTGGGACTGTGGGAAAAGGAATTGTTCTATAGACATGAATTTTCTAGAAACTGTGCTGTAAAGAATGGAGCTGTCTTGGAAATTTGAGGGTGAGTTGGGTGTGGGGCGCAGTGACTCTGATTGTTCTACCTCCTGGTATGTCTGCTTTGTTACATGGTGGGGACACATGCAGTTAGATCCCTTGTTAGACCTGAAGCCCTGGGGTTGGAGCAGTGCAAGCCCACCAGGGATCAGAGCCTGCTAATTGGCTGAGCATGAGTCTGGGCTCAGTGGAATGCAGGGGTGAATTAGAACTGGGTCCATTGTACCACCAGGCCCACTATGGACATCCTTTAGATAAATTACATGTAGTGGCTTGCTAGAAACTCTACAGTTTGACCGTAAGGATCCTTTAAGGAAAAGTGGATCTGGCCCAGGGTCTCCTTGTCTGGACAAGGAAGAGAGATGGAAGAAATGGGGAGAGAGTCCTGGACTGAAGTGAGAATCCTTGCTCTGCCATGTGTTCCCTGTGTGACCTTAGCTAAGTCACTTTGTGTCTCTGTGCCTCACTTTCCCCCTGTGTAACATGAGGGGGATGCATCAGATATTTCTGAGGTCCTTTCCAGCCCCTTCCAGACCCCAGGATCCAAAGGTAAGGCTCCTTGTGCTGGTTTCAAGCAGATGAGAGGGAGCCCAGGAAGCTAACTGTGGGATAGTGAGGCTTGAAGACTCTGGCCTGGATCCAGGCATCCTTCAAGCACCAAGTATTCTTTTTAATTTTAATCATGTTTGATGGAAATCTTTCTAATTGAATGTTATATACGCCTCTGCCCTCTTAGCTAAATAGGGTACCAAATGCTTTCTTGTGCTGTTCTCTAATTGTTTCCTGTGTCTGAGCCTAGCCTCAGCAAGGCTGGAACAGGTAGCAGAAAGAGCACTTCCTTTGAGCCCCTGCTCTGGTGCCCAGGTGACCTTGGGCACATTACTTCAGTTTCCTCCTGTGTGAATAGAGATACTACTGCTTGTACTCCCTCTCAAAGCTGTTGTAGGAATAGTTCTGAGGCAGACCATGAGGGACCTCGGGCATGGGAGAAATGTCATGTGCATCCTCCCCACCCCAGCAACATCTGACGTGGGGCATATTGTAGGAAAGGGATAAATACCCGTTAATTGATTGATTGAATATAAAATCAGGCTCAGAAAAAAATCTGAGTCTGTATATAGAAGCAAAAATCTGTCAAACAGATTGAACAGTGACAGCATGGGTGAAAGCTAAGCAGCTTACACTGGGAAGGAAGATAGATTGTTCAGTGAGACTGATGGGCTTCCTGTGACTGGGGATGGGCTAGGGATGGTGGTTGTCTCTAAAACCAATAATGAGATAATAGCAGATTCATCCAAGCTGGCACAGACTTTGGCTCCTCAGTGAGTCTGTGATCTCCTTGGGGGTCCCCCTGCCACCAGGGCAGATCACGTGCCTTCTCATCCTGCTGGATGCTCGTCCCTGGCTTCCTACCAGTTCTCCATGAAGGAGGATTTGTCCTATAGGTGGATGCTCTCCTCTGGTTCTTTGAATATTTCATGGCTTCTGCGCAGCCCTCGGGATGTCCATCTATCCTCCCTCACTGGTAGTAAATGACTCTCCCACCTCCCCATTTGGCCATGCATGTTCTTGAAGGTGTCTTCTGTTCATTTTCGCATACAAGTAGTTTTGGTAACATGTTACATATGAGACTCATTGCCTGAAGTCCTCTGTCATGCCCACTTCCAATTCTAGTTAGAGCTAAGGTAGATTTATTTAAGTACCTACTATATAGAAGGTATATCAGATATCTCCTTTTGGCCTTATACCTTTTTGTGAAAAATAGGGATTCATATTGGACTAAGGACTCCCCTATTCAACAAAAACCGCTGTAAAAACTGGATAGCAGTCTGGCAGAAACTAGGTTTAGAGTGGTATCTCACATCTTATACCGCGTCAAGCTCCCAGTGGAGACATGACCTAAATATAAAAGATCATATCATAAACAATTAGAGGAGAAGGGAAGGAGATGACTGTCACAACTATGATGGGGTGAGGGTTCTTGAACAACCAAAGAATGAAAAGACATACAGGTAAAGATAAGGAAAACTGAGCCAGAGGGGGTAATGATCTTCCCAGGTTCAAACAGCACCACAAAGACTCCCAAACATGAAGTGAAGGAGGAGAGGGAATCTGATTCCCCCAAAGCAGAAGCAGTGTGGTAAGAGCCCCGGCTCATATTCAAACCTAAGTGGCTTTGGGAAAATCCTTTCCCTTCACTTCACCTCCTTGGGCCTCAATTTGCTTATCTGTAGAAAGGGCTCTTTCCAACTATTTTAACCTAATGACTGCTTTTTCCAAAGTAGGAAAACCAATTCCAATTTCTGTGATGATTTTAAGCTTATAAAGTGATTTCTTCATGACCATTTTGTGGGGGAGGTAGTGTGAGCATTATTGTCCCCATTTTATGGATGAGAAAATTGGGTCTAAAGGATATGAAGTAACCTGTCTTTGGTCACCCAGCTAGTTAGGCCTGGAGCTGGAGGCTGACTCCCTGAGACGATGTGGTAGCTTCTTCTCTCTCTCCTGTATTGAAGCGGGTGCAGCCGACAGCTCTCCCCTAGGGTTCTGCCGTGCTGGCCAGCCTGTTCCCCGGTGGCCGCTGCATTAGGCTCTAGCAAGGGCTGTGTCCTGTCCAGGAAGGCCATCGGACTGCTTTGTAATCTCTGTGTTTGTTCTCTTTCTCTCCAAGGAGGAAGAGCGGATATTGCCTCGCCTGCCACGTGGCGTGAAACTTGTGTGTTACGTAGGTTTCCCGTTTTCATCGATTTCCCACTTTGGTCCATTCTCCGAGCACTGTCTGCAGTCTGGGGCACAGCGGCTAGGGCTCCTGGGGAACCTGGCTTGTTTGGCTGCATGCCTTCTTAGATCTTCCTGGGTCTTGTCCCCTGGTTGGCACCCGATACCTTTGGGACTCCGAACCTTTTTATCTTCCCCTTCCCTCTGCCTGAGCTCTGCTTTTCTCTTCTCCATCCTCTACCCCAAGAATGGCTGCCTTCCTAAGCCCTTCCTCTCTCTCTCCAGCTCCTCTTTCATCCCACCATCCCCTCTACCCTCCCAGCACTTACTTCTGCCCCCAAACTAATGGAAGATTTTTGTTGGGTCATTGCCAGGCCTCAGGTTGGGAAACCAGAGGTAAGAACCCTTGGCCACCCCTGTGGAGGGTGTGCTGAAATGCCTCCTCAAGTTTGCCCACTGGGGAGGAGGGCGGGGAGAGGTAGGGAGCAGCAGCTGGGTTTGCTTTGTGCCCTGGTGAGCTAGGAGGGTTCTGCACCCTGCTGGAAGCTGGCCTGGCTCTGGGGGCTGGCTCTTCATCCCCCGCCCTCTTCAGGCTGGGCTTGGGTGGGCCCAGGAGATAGCACCTCGCAGCTCATGCGGGGTAGTGTGGAGGCGGAGAGAGCAGAAATACAGGAGTCAGAAGTGGGTGCTTTATTCTGGGGCCACGTCACTTAAAAAATGCCAACTCTGCTTGCCCCAGATTTCCCCAAATACTCCATACAGACACAGCTCAAACAAAGTCTGAAGGTTCTCTGGGAGGCCCTTCAGAAAGCTGTCAGGGACTGCAGGAAATGTAGTACAGCAGAAACAACAGCCAGCCGGAGTGACAGGCTCCGGAGCTGGAGGAAAGCCAGACAGGCTCGTCTTTGTATGTTATAGATGAGGACACCACCCTCCTGAGAGAAGGGATCTGTCCAGTCACCCCGCTTATTCGTGGCAGGACCGGGATCTGAACCCCTGGCTCCCGGCTCCAGATCCAGTGCTTTGCCAGAGGCCCAGGGTTCAGATGCCAGCTCTGCTGTTTCCAGACTGTGTGACCTTAGCCAAGTCCCTTTACCTTGCTGGGTCTTAGTTTCACCATCTGTAAAATGTAGGGGTTGGATTGGGTGGCCTCCAAGGTCTAAATCCTGGTGGTTCTGTCACTGGAATCTGATTTGTGCTAATCAGGAAAGACTGAGGGTTCCTCCCTCAGTAAGACTGACCCAGCATGGGTCCTGTAGGTGGGACAGGACTGGTTTGACTGAGGGAGTCTGAAGGCCCCAGAGAAGCCCAGCCTCAGGCTAGTTTCAGGGTTTAGCAATAGGACACACACTGCAGTTCAGTAATCCAATCCATCAGATCCACAATAAGGAACAGAGAAGTCTTTGTTCTGAAGGGGCTCCGAGCCTGATGAAGGGTAGAGAAGTCAGCCTAAGAGAATTACAAGGATTTTCTCAGGGCCAGGGGCCATGGCCTTTGATGCCTGCGGCTAAGTAGGTTAAGGAACCTGCCTGTGATCACACAGCCAGTAGGGGTCAAAGGAAAGGTCTGAGCCCAGATCTTCCTGACCCTGGTGCTGGCTCTCTCTCCCCTGTGCCAGGGAAGAACAGGCCACGGTTTGATAGTGTGGATGGAGAAGAGTGAATGGGACTGTCTGACAGCTTAGGGGAGACCTCTCAGTATTTGGGTTTAGTGGCTTTCCTTTGCCCTCCCCAAGTTCGTGGTTGGTGTGTGTGGTAATACCTAGAGCTTTTGATTGCTTTTAATTCTTCAGTGTTTGGTATTTGGTAGTAATCTAGCAAAGGGGAGAAGAGAGGAGACTGAGATTTGGGCTGGTGCGACCCAAGACCCCTCTCCCCTGGAAAGGGGCAGATCCTTGGAAGTCTGTCTTCCCCACATATCTTTTTCTTCTTTCAGTTAGGATCTGGGTCATCAGTCAGACTCCTGGGGGCTGTCAGCCAAGCATGGGAAGCCACCAAGCCACCACAATTGGAAGAACTGGAGGACCTCTCAGAAGCCGGCTCAGAGGCACCTTCCCAGAGATCCCAGCTTCCCTCCTGTTGGGCCAAGGGTCCACAACAGGCAAGAGGGGTAAGGTAGCCCTGCTTCAGTGTGCATGGAGGGGGCTTGTCCCTCACAGTGTTTAGGGCTCAGGGAGAAGCAGTTCCGATAGGATCCACTACACTTAGTGTCAGTTGGCTGGCTTCTCCTGTGATCTAATATCAAGTCCTTTCTTCCTCCCACTCACAGTTCAGTTCGATTCAAGAAACATTTAGTAAATGCCTATTGTGTACAGAGCACTATGCTAGATTCTGTGGGAGAGGCAAAGTTCAGATGAGGCACAGTCCTTATTCCCAGAGTGCTCACAGTCTAGTAAGGGGTTAAGAAATACACAGAGATAACTAGAATGCATAATATCACATATATAATATCATGTGATACATACTACGTAACATTACATGATAAGACAAAGGGATATTTGAGGTCTGGGAGGGAAGGTTAGAACTGCCTGGAGGGAATCTGGAAAGGCATCCTGGAGGAGGTGTCATTTGAGCTAGTCTTTTAAGGAATGGCCTGAGCAAAGGGGACTGAGGCAGGAATATGGGGTGGGGAGGTGGGGGTGGTTGGGGAAATCGGTAGCCGCTTGTTACACTTAGCTCTAGACCACAGAAGTGCGTAACACCAGACAAGACTGGAGAGGAAGGTGGGCACTAGATTATTTGGGGTCTTGAATGCCAGGAAATTCTAAGAATTTCAATTTTTGTTGAGTTTTAAAGTTCCCAGAGCACGTGCCTCCCCACAACCTTGTGAGAACAAGCCCTTTCCCATTTGTTTGCTCATCTGTTTATCCTAGAACAGACTGCTACAGGTTATAGTCACTGTGGGTTTTGTGTGTGTACCTTTCCTTTTTTCTTTATCAATAGCTGAAGACATTTGCCTTATTAATTGCTTTCTTGGCTAATGAATATTGCTAACATAATTGCTTTCCTGGCTAATGAATGTGACCAGGGTTGTAATTAATATGGAGCAACAGGTTTCAAGGTCCTTTTCCTCTCCTCCAAATTGACGGTTTCTGCCAATGGGCTGGGCCTGCTTCTCCGAGGCAGAGCCAGGGGGAGGGAGCGGCTCCACCTTCAGGCCCAGGCTCCATGATAGGCAGGACTCTCCCTCCGGGAACATCATGGGGTGGGCAGCCAAAGGGACTTGGGAGCTACAGTTGGCAACACTTGAGTTCAAATCTCAACACTGCAGTTTACCAGCTTTGTGGCTTGGGGCAAGGCCTTAACTTCTCTGGACCTCAGTGTCCTCAATGTCCTATCTCTCTGTGAGATTATCTTGAAGGTTCCTACTAGTTCTGAATCCTGCGGTCCACTTTAGGATAGAGGGAAGAGTATTGGATTTGGAATCAAAGGACCTGGGTTCAGATCCTGACTATCTCTGTGACCTTGGCCAAGTCACTTACCCTTCTGGGCCTCAGTGTTATCATCTGTACAAGTGAGGAGTCTGGACCAGATGCCCTCTGTGGGCTCTTCTAGCTCTAAATCTAGGCTGCTACGTCCCTGCCCTCCCTCTTTCCCTTTGAGTGGGAGTACCAGAGAATTGCTGTCCTCCCCAGGCCCCGCACTTTGGATCCAGCTGGCTCCCTGTCTGACCCCTACCAAGTCATTTTGGGGCGTGAGGAGCAGCAGCCAGCCATGGTCTGAGCCCAGGCTCCTGCCTTCCCTCACTCGGGCCCGGCCTCCAGCTAACAAATGCCTCCTCGTGACCTCGCCAGGGTGGACCCCCTCCCCCGCCAATACTTGATTTGTGGTAACTACCTGGCGTTGTTGCTCATCAGGAGCTGTCTGCCCTTTTCTCCAGAACAGCTCTCCTGGGCTCTTTGTTATCCTCACAAATATTGCTTTGGGCATCTGTCATATCCTCGTGTCTGTTTCCTCTTGTGTTGGAGGAGGGGGATGCAGTGGGGAGGGAGGCAGGCATGGAGGGAGGAGGCGGCGCAGAGCAGAGGGAGGGATGGAGGGATGGATGAAGGGAGGGAGGAGACTACAGCAGCCATTCAGTGGGATAAAGAGCTTAGAAGAATCAAAATCACGGAACCCCGGGCGCCTCTCATCCCAATAAGACCTGACTGGGGAGTGTACGTTGGATTGGGTTTTTTCTGTTTTGTTTTTGTTTATTGTTTTCGGCTGTCCATCCATGTGGGATCATAGGATTCAGAGACAGAAAGGACCTTAATGATTACGTTGTACAGCCCCCTTGTCCTCTGGGAAAACTGAGGCTCAGAGAGGGGAAGGGTCTTGCTCAAGGTCACGTGGCTTATAAGTTAGGCTTGTAAGCCGTGCTCTCGCTATGGGGCCACACTGCCACCCGTGCATTGGTTCATCAGCAAGACATTCAGCTGCTTCTAGCTCCCGGAGCAGGGCATCTGTCGGGCAGAGAAAGGCCAGGGCTAGGTGCCCGTGGCCTGCTGTCCATCTATAAAGCTGCGTGAAACAGCCATAAGTAGATCTTGCTATTATACTGAACCTTTGCTTTCCCCCCTTTCCCAAAGATATGGCTTGCATGTCCTTCTTCCTCCTCGCCCTCCTATGCTGTTTGTCTCAGGGAAGCACCAGGCTCTGGACTGCCAGAGCAGCCTTCTCAGCACCCACTGATGGGCTTGCCCTTTGACCCAACTGGGCCAACTAGCCCCCAAGCTCCCCAGGCCCCAGCCCTGCCCACTGCCTTGAAATGCCAGGGAGGGAGTCAGTCCCATGCAATGCTTCAACACAGGGGCAATTCTTCTGAGTCTCACCTCATCCCCCACCCCCTTTTTTTTAAAAAAAAGATCGGACTGAACTGCCTGGCGTCTGATGGCTGATAATGGCTCTTTGACCCTGTGCCCCCAAGGCTTGGGATGCTCCTGGTTCTTGGCAGGAAGGGGCTATAGCAGCTCACCTGACTGACATACTCTAAGTCTTCTTCCCTCCTTCCCTTCCCCCCTTCCCCTGTTTATCCCTTTTCCTTTCTCTTTCTCCCTCTCTTCTTTCTTCTTTCTCCCTTCCCATATTTATCAAGTAACGACTGTATAGCCCTGTGCAAGGAAATATATAAAACTTAGAAAAGGCATGGGCCCTGCCCTCATGGAGCTCCCAACCTGTTAGGGAAATGAGCCAAACGCACCTGACTAAAATGAGATCTGATAGAATGATCCCGGTGGGGGCTCAGGACAAGCTTTAGGAAGAGGCGGTATTTCTGCTGGACTTTAGAGAGTGGGTAGACATTCAATAGGCAAAGGAAGGTGGGAGGAAAGGAGGAACCTCGCTAGCCAGGCTCTTTCTTTGGCTCAGTAGGTAGAAGCCTCCCTTGTCTGACAAAGAGAGGCATTAATGATAGGCCGGCCTGCCACACACCTCCTGGCTCCTGGCCCCATTGGGAGACTGAGGAAGGCAAGCCTTTGAGGTGGAGCCCGGCAGAGGGAGGAACAGGGGTGGAGAATCCTGCCACTAGAAAGTTAACTTCAGCCTCTCAGATCTGGAACCATGCAAGGAGGAGGTCTGCCCAGCGGAGTTAGGAGATGGCCTTGCTGGACAGGGGCAGGATTGAGCTTAATAAGCAGCAACAACAGACACATCAGAGGTGGTTTCCCCTCTTGGGGAAACTGAGAGAAGGAAAAACCCTCCAGAACAGCACATTTGATAACAACTGCTCACAGCAGCCCTGGGAGGTGGCCATTCCAAATATTGCCATCCCAGGGAAAGTGACTCATCCAAGGCCACAGAGCTGATAAGGGACAGAGCAAGGTTCCCCACTACATCTCACTGCAGTTACAGGAGGATGCTGTCCCCTGAACTGCTGGCAACATCTATCCCTACACGGCCAGGTGGCGGAGCAGGCGCATGGGGATGAAGGCTGCTCCAGGCAGCTTGTTCTTGGGGAAGGCCAGACTGCCGGGTAGGGAACAGTGGGGAGGCAGAGAAAGCACCTACTATGTGCCAGTCAGCTGTACAGATATCTTAGTTGTTCCCAGGTTCTGTGGAGCCACTGCTTTTTTTGGAAATGTCCCTCAGGCTTTGTGGAACTTTGCCTGGGGTCAGTACTTTACACTAGAACCAGAACAAAAATGTCTCCACCTGGGGCATAAACATTTGGGGGAAATAGTAGCACAGAGCAGAGGGAGCAGGAAAGGGGGCCACCCTTATGGGGATGGGGGAAAGGTCGGCTCCAGGAGAAGGGGACCACAGCGGCAGAACCTGATAGGGAGGTTGGACTACAGAGTAGAGAGGAAGAACCCTCTCCCCCATTTTGGTCCCTTAGGGCAAAGCCCCACCTTTCCCACCCTTGTTAATGACCTGCCTTACACAGAGACAGCAATAAATGTTTATTGAATTGAACTGGGAAGAGAGGATTTAACTGAGCCCAAGCCCCTTAGTCTTCCCTCTGCCCATTTGGTCCCTGGAGGTTTCTGTTCTGGGTCAGGTGGCAGGGTTCAAGGTGCATTCCTTGGAGGTAGCTGCAAGGTACCGGTTGTGGACATGTCCAGAGCCAGAGATCAGTTTACTTGTATCTGTGATGCCCAGGAGGCCAGTGGTTTTCTCCATCAGGGGAGCTGGGAAGGAGACTCTGGGTTCAGCTCTCACTGAGCTGCAGGGGCATGCCTGACTGATCAGCAAGCCAATTTCAAGTCTGTCTACTGGCCCGCATCAGGGACGGATTTGCAGTTGCCAGAGCCTCCCATTGGAGCTGCCCCCAAGGATGGCCTTTCCCTCTGCTTTGACTTGTCAAGTCATGGAAGGTAGACAGTGAGGCATCAGGGACCCAAGACCACTGGAGGGGAGCAAGGGAGGCAGAAAGCCTAGCACAATCCTTGCTTAGCTCAGAATTGTATTGCTTTCGACCTAGCGCCAGATAAGGTCTCCATAGTGCAAGGCATGTGATAAATGCTGGTTGATTGATCTGATGCTTGAATACTTTTTCTTGGGCTCATTCATTCATTCATTCATTCATTCATTCATTCATTCATTCTCTCATTCACAGAACAAAGCTAACCACAATGAGATCTTTTTAAAAATTTTAATGTATTTTTTTCAGTGAACAAAAATTTACTTCTCCCATTCACCTCCCCCCTTAAATTTTCTTTTGACAATGAGATCTTTAAAATAAATTATGCAAATAACAACAGAACAAAATTAGAATGAGTGTCTGAGTGGAAGAAGAGGTCATATTTTGGGGCTGATTTCACAGAAAGGAGTCATCAGATGAGCACAGGGAAAGGGCAGCACAGGCTGGTGACAAGAGCTCTCAGAAGAGCTGGGAGACAGAGGCTCCACTCCCACCTCTCACACACAGTTGCTGTATGACCCTGGGCAAGTTACCAGACTTCTCTGAGTCCTGGTCTTCCCATAGAGTCCCATGGGGGAGAGAGCCAGCTGGCTTTGGAGTCAGGAGGCTCTGCGTTCAAGTCCTGACCCTTGGCAAGTCCCTTAGCTTCTCAGCGCCTCAGGCAGGTCTCCCTAACTCTTACTTGGCAGCACTGGTGCTGATCTATGTTGGTAGAGACAGGCCTCCTAGGTTGCTCCCTGGGCTGATAGAATCATTGGTCCAGTAAGAGAACGTTTGCTTGTCTGTAAAATGGAAATGATGAGACTTGGGATGCCTCTGCTATTAGTGAGGTGAACACAGGCTCCAGTGAGGCTGGCAGCCTGGGTAGGCTTTCAACATTTGTGTGTATGTGTGACCTGTTGACCATCCAGGAAACAAGTGAGATAAGATATGGTGGAGAGGAGGGTGGGAGGGGAGTGTTGGGCTACTGAGGCAGCGAGAGGGAGCCTTCATTGCTGAAGTAAGTGCCCATCCCAGAGGTGGTTGTGGTGAAAGTGTGTTGTAAACTGTGCAGCATCCTTGAAAGGGGAGTTATTTACAGCATCTCTGACTTAGAAGGGACTCAGTGGCCATCCCCCAAGTTCACCTAGTACCTTGGCAAGCTTGAAGACCTGCACGCAATGAGAGATGGACCACCGTGCTCTCCAGGAGCCCATCCCACTTTGGGAGACTTCCAGTCATCAGAAGTGTTTCTTGACATCAGTATGCCTCTTTGTAAATAGAGTGTAAGTTCTTTGAGGGAAAAGACGTTCCCATTTTTGTCTCTAATCGAGGCATGTGGCACAGTGGATGGAGCACTGGGCCTGGAGTCAGGAAGACTCATCTTCCTGAGTTCAAATCCAGCCTCAGGCACTAGCTGCGAGATCCCAGGCAAGTGACTTAACCCTGTTTGCCTCAGTTTCCTCATCTATAAAACAAGCTGCAGAAGGAAATGGCAAACCGCTCTAGGATCTTTGCCAAGAAAACCCCAAATGGAGTCAGGAAGGGTTGGACACAACTGAAAAAAACGACCAAACAACAAGAAGTGTCTGGCACCATGCCTGCCGCGTAGACGCAATGGTGACTTGGGAGGGCTCTGATTCAGTTAATGGTTCACAGGGAGGAGTCCTCTTGAGCTCTGCCCTGGACAGACAGTGTCTGGAGAATTAGGTTAGTCTCTGAACTCCATGTTCTAGGAAGGATAGTGACAAAGGAGAGACATTCAAAAGAAGGTAGCCAAGATGACGACCATGCCACATGGAGGGAGCTGGAGTAATGGGTAGAGTCTTGGACCTGGAGTGAGGAAGACTTGAGGTCAAATCCAGCCTTAGGGACTTAGCAACTGTATGACTTTGGCCAAGTCACTTAACCTCTGTCTGCATCACTTTCTTCATCTGTAACATGGGGATAATAATGGCACCCACCTCCCAGGGTGGGTGTGAGGCTCAAGTGAGATAATATTTGTAAAGCACTAGCCCGGTGCCTGGCACATAGTAGGTCCCATATCCAGATGAGGAGAAAAGGCTCAGAAGGGATAGAACCACAGTATTTTAAGTGTCTAAAAGTTCTCATGTGGAAGGAAGATTAGGTGTGTTCTCCTTGGCCCAGAAGGCAGAACCAGGAGCAGTAAGGTGAAGAGGCCGAGAGGCACCTTTTGGCTTCGTGGGAGGGAAGGTTTCCTAGCTATTGGGGTCTGTCCAAGAGTAAAATTGGGTTCTGTGGAAGATAGTGAGCCTCCTGTCCCAGGAGATGTCAGGAATTTTGTGGAAGAGTGGTTCCTGGTCAGGCACATTGGATTCAATGGTCTCCGAGGTGCCTTTCCACTCAGACTCTTTAAAAAAAAGGATATGCATATTTTCAGTTTTCAACATTCACTTCCATAAGATTTTGAGTTCTAAATTGTCTCTGCCTCCCTCCCCTCCCCCTCCCCAAGACAGTGTGCAATCTGATATAGGCTCTACATACATTCACACTGAACCTATTTTCACATTAGTTATGTTGTGAAGAAGAATTAGAACTAATAAGAGGAACCATGAGAAAGAAGAAACAACAAAAAAGAGAGCAAATAGTATGCTCCATCTGCATTCCGACTCCAGAGTCCTTTCTCTGGCTGGGGAGAGCATTTTCCATCATGTGACTTTTGGAGATGTCTTAGATCCTTGCATTGCTGAGAAGGGCTAAGTCTATCAGGGTCAGTCATCGCACAGCGTGGCTGTTACTGTGTATGGTGTTCTCCTGGTTCTGCTCATTTCACTCAGCATCAGTTAGTGTCTTTCTAGCTTTTTCTGAAGTCAGCCTGCTCATCATTTTTTATAGAACATATACCACAGCTTATTCAACCAGTTCCCAATTGCTGGGCATCCCCTCAATTTCCAGTTCTCAGCCACCACAAAAAGAGCTGCTGTGAATATTTTTGTACGTGGAGGTCCTTTTCCCATTTTTCTGACCTCTTTGGGATACAGCCCTCGAAGTAGTATTGCGGATCAAAGGGTATGCAGAGTTTTATAGCCCAAATTGCTCTCCAGAATGGTCGGATCAGTTCACAAGTCCACCAACAATGCATTCTATCAGACTTTCTGTGCGCGATCAATCAGCAAGCATTTATCAAAGGCCTATAGTGGCAAGCAGCGTGCTAGGCACTAGACGTCAAAAGAGTCCCTACTCTCAAGGAGCTTACATTCTACTAGAGGGATGCAGCCTGTTCACAGATAATTAAACGTAGGATTGGCACAAAATAAATGCATTTCAGAGTGATTGGGGGATGAGGAGACAAGGAGAAAAGAAGCCTTGACAAGTGGTGATGTCAGGAAAGTAGGAGGCAACCTTGGAAGTGAGCCTTGAAGGGAGCTGGGGCTTCTGAGGGGCAAAGGGAAGGAAGGAGGGCTTTCCAGGGAGGTGGACAGCTGGTGCAAAGGCTGTGTGCAGGAAGCGCTGAGCTGGCCAATTTGGCTCTTGCTTTGGAATGCCTGAGGGGGAGAAATGTGCACTCAGCCTCGGGAGGTGGGCAGGAGCCAGATTGTGAAGGACTTTACATAAGAAACTCGGCAGCCTGTATTTGATCCTAAAGGCAATGGGAAGCTTGGGAAGCTTCTGAAAGTGGGAGTGACTCAGAACTGTGCTGGAGGGACAGCGCTTTGGGGGAGAGGTCCAATGTTATTGCGATAGACCAGCAGAAACGGAGCTCCTCTAGGCCTCCCCGCCAGCACTACCCCCAGCTAATCCTGTCTGTCTGTCCTCTCCCCCACTAGCCTGGGAGCTTCGTCCTTTCTTTGCATCCCCAGCACCTAGCACAGGGCCTGGCATGGAGGGTAACGACTGCTCGCTGATTGGCTAATCGGTAGAGGGTGGTTGTCCTCCAAGTAGCGAGGACGGGATGGATGTGAAAGACGTTTTAAAGAGAGAATCAGGGGGTGTTGGAGAAGAGGGAAATGTCAAGGACAATTCCAAGGTTATGACCCTGCGTGACTAGAACAGCAGGACTCTTGTCAGGAGCAGAGGGAAGGCTGTGAGTTCTGCTTCAGATGAAGGTTGTGAGACAGATGGCTCATCTGAGTGGAGATGTCCAGTAGGAGGTTGGAGACACAGGACTGGAACTTGGATGAGGCCTGGATACGTCGATCTGGGAGGCAGTTACCTCGAGGTGGCAGTTAAATCAGTGGGAGCTAGTGAGATTCCCAAGAGGGAGGGCAGAGTGAGAGAAGAGAACAGAGCCTTGCAGGTACACCTACACATCGGGGGCAGGAAATGTTTGATGAACCTATAAAGAAGACTGAGAGAGTCCAGTGTCCTTGGGGGGTTGAGGAGGAAGAGAATCAGGACAGCACGGTGTCATGAGACCCCCAGAGGCGGTGTCCATGTTGCCAAAAGTTCAAGAAGGGCATGGGTTGAGAAAAGGCCATTGCATTTATCAGCAAAGAGATCCTTGGTGGCCTTGGAGATGACAGTTTCAGTCCAATGGTGGGGAAGGAAGACAGATTGCAAGGGGCTAACAAGGGAGTAGGAGGTAAGAAAGTAGACGTAATGAGTGTAGACAGTCTTTTTTTAGGAGTTGGGCTTGTGAAATGGAGGCGAGGATAGAGCAGTAGCTTCAGGGGGTAGTGAGGGCAAGTGCAGGGTTTTACAGGAAGAGTGGTCAGGACAAGGAGAAGTGTCAAGTTAGGTCAGGAGAGAAGACTCAATGGGCCATGCCCCCAGAAGAGATGGCGGAGGATGGTTTCAAGGGTACAAGTAGGGGGATTGGCCTGGGCAAGGAAGAAGGCATCATTCTGTGAGACTGGAGCAAAGGAGGGGAAGGTATGCGATGGTACATACTGAAAGCAGAAAGCAGAGGGAGCTTTCCAAGTTGACCATGCCTCCATTCACTGAGGGAAGCCTGAGGGAGAGGAGTGGGGAGGTAATGGTGTAGTCGGCTGGAGCAGACGCTGTATGGGGAATGCCGTGGTGTCAGTCAGGGTAGGAGAAAAGGGCTGGGGTGAAGCAGCAAGGGCCCGGGTGAAGTCTGCAGTGGAGCGGCTCGGCTCTGATTCTTTTGTCTTCGGCAAGAGGGAAGATGGTGGTTGGTGGGAGAGCTGGCAGGACTGAGGTGGGGAAGGAGATGAGCAGCCCTGACCTCACCAGCATCCAGCTGAGGCCTCTTCCAGGGCAATAGAAAAACTCTCCTCAATTGTGTGGCCTTGGTGTGCTCCCGCTCCTGGGTGGCTACAGGGCTTTACAATGCAGGGTGTGCTGGAGTCACCAGCAAAGAGCTGTGCCCAGAAAGGCAGGAGGACAGGTCGGAGCCCTGGCATGACCACTGAGTCTCCGGGTGGCGTGGGCGAGTCTAAAAGGTGGAAGCTGAACTAGGGAGTTTTTAAGGGTGCTTCTTGGGAATCTCTCCTGCCTCCCACTGTGACTGACAGGACCTGGAACTGTGGGAGGCGACCAAGAGAAAGAAGGATCCAAGAGTCTAGAGGGGCTGAAAGGGCTAGGAGAAAGAAGGGCGCAGAAGGCAAAGCTGGGCGTGGCTCTGACGCTGATACTTGAGCTCCGTTATCCTCGTGCTCTTTCTTGCAATATGCTTTCAAGCTAGGCCCCCTTCTACGGCACAGGAGAGTTACCACTGAGCTCCCCTAGTCAGGGCTCGAGGGGCTTCCCTATGACCTTTAAGGGTTCTGCATCCCTCCTGTACCAGTCATCAGACAGAAGTCCGCGGGTAGTATTTGGTGAGGTGGGAGGAGTCTTGCCTTTGGAGTCAGACCACTTGCCACTTTCATATTGTTGGGGAGGAGGCTGAGCAGTAGGTGGCAGCTGAAAGCACTTTGGAAACTAAGGAAAGGACAGTGGAATGTTGTAGGGATAAATGCAAAGTCCTACACTTGGATTCACAAAGTCAACTGCACAAGAACAGGATGGACAAAAAAAAAGGATATGCAGTCCATGTGAAAAAGATCTGGGGCTCTAAGTGGACCACATGTTCCCTAGTGTGACCTGGCAGTCTAAAATCTCATTAGCTTTTTGTATTAGAAGCAGGTAATTCAGAAGAGGGAGGTGATGAGTGTCACTCCATACAGGTCTGGTCAAATCTGGAACATCTTCTCCAGTTCTGGGACTCTATTTTTAAAAGGGCATTGATAAAAAGGAGGAAACCCAAAGGAGAATGTTCAGGGGACTACAGGCTATGCTTCAGAAGAATAAGTTGAGGAAAGCGGGAATGTTTTAGCATAGAGAAGACTCAGGAGAAGGATAGAATAACTTTTTTCCAAGTATTTAAGGGGTTATCATTTGAAAAAGGGATTAAGCACCTGTTCTGCTTGGCCCTGGGGGCAGTGGGTGGAAATATGAAGAGAAGTTACAAAGGTTCTGTGTAAGGAGATATTTCCTAACAATTGTGGGAAGTGGAATGGGCTGCCTCAGGGAGGAGTGGGGGTACTTCTTAGGTCCTCGGAGGAGATGCCTGCCCAGGTAAGGCTTGGGTAGACGGCCTCTTCTAGCTCTTTGGCTCTGTGCTTCCGTGAGTGGATGGACTGCAGCCTTCTGGAGGGTGCATGAGCTTTGTGAGGGCGGGGATGAGATTTTTGCTAAACTAACTGTCTCTCTCCAGTGCCTGCACACAGTAGGCATTTGATAAGTGTTCATTGAGTGAGTGGATGAATGTGAGGAAGGAGAATGGAGTCGTTTGGGGTAACAGGCAGTGAAGCCCCTTCCCCTGGCCTCAGCCCCTTTTCTTTGGCTTCCTCGCGTTCTCTCCGGGATGTGTCTATGCTCACTGAATCCTTCTCCCTTTTCCACTCATCTCTGCTCTGATGGCTGGCTCTAAGGCAAGGAAAGATGTCTTCAGTGAAGGGGAGAAGAAGCCGCTCTCCCAGCTGGGCAGAGCCTCTGTGCCCATGCCCGCAGAGAAGCCACTGAACCCAGGTGAGCATGTGTGCCCAGGCCCTGACACTGGGGAATGGCCTGCCTGAAGGAAAGAGGGGGAGCAGTAGCGTGGTGCAAAGAACCCAGGGGTGGTAGGGAGAAGTCTGGGATTCAGATCTACCACCTGCTGGCAATGAGACCTTGGACAAATCACTTCGTAGGGTTAGAACTGGAGAGAGACTATCTGACTGGCTAGGTATCGCAGTAGACAGAGCGCTCAAATCCTGCCTCAGACACTGACTAGCTGTGTGACTCTGGGCAAAGCACTCAACCTCTCTCAGCCTCAATTTCCTTATCTGTAAAGTGGGGATAATAATAGCACCTCTCTCACAGGGTGGTTGTGACAATCAAATGCGATCATATTTGTAAAGTGCTTTGCAAACCTTAAAGTGCTAAGTAAATGCACGCTGTTATCATTGGTCTAAGCCTCTTCATTTTTCAGATGAGGAGACTGACATCAGAGTGGATGAATGATTTCCTTACAGTCTCACAGCAGCAGCAGCAGCAGAACTCTTGTTCCAAATGTAGCACCCTATAGTAACCCACTATGCCATGTGGTTTCCCTCTCTTCTCCTTTCAGGGCCTCAGTTTCCCCATCTGTAAAATGAACAGGTTGGGCTAGATGGTCCCTTCTGGCTGGCACAGTCTGTGTGGTGGGGAGGGGGCAGGCCTCCCTGCCATGCTTGGTCCAAGCTCTGCTGTCCAGACTCAAGGAGTGAGGAGGGAAGGACTGTTAATGCTGTCACCCACCCCCTCCTTCGGGCAGTGTCCACTGGGAAGCTGAGCATTCTGCACTCAGGGAGGCTGGAGGAACAGGCCTCTCATCCCTCCCGGATTTGCTGAGCAGGTAGCAGAGAGGAGGCTCCCAGCCCCTCCCTCCTTCCCCGAGAGCAGGGGCAGAGTAGTGGGCCACGCCTCCGAATATGGAAGACCTAATCAGGTGTGTTGAAAGCCAGTGGGCCTCTCCTGTGCCAGCAGCCACTGAAGCCCTGCCGTGGGGGGTGAGGACTCCCAGCAGAGTGGCACCAGATGCCAAAGCACGAGTAATAGTAACTCCTGTTTGAAAGAGGCAAGGTGAGGCAGTAGCAAGAGCCCAGCATCTGGAATCAGAAGATCTGGGTTCAAATTGTGACTATTAGTCATATGAGCTTGAGCAAGTCACTTATCTTCTCCCAGACTCAGTTTACACATCTGTAAAATATGTAGATTGGACTAATTTCCAAGGTCCCTTTCAGCACTCAGTCCTACATGGTGCTTTAACTTTTGCAAAGCACTTTTGTCGCAGCTCTGTGCAGGATATAGTACAAATACAAACACACCCATTTTAGAGAGGAAGAAACTGAGGACCCAAGACTTGTTTAAGGTGACCCAGCCGGGATGGGAGATAGTGAGCCTAGGTCCTCTGATGTGCAGTCAGGGCTCTTACGCACTTCATCAAGTGTGGTCTTCGTTGGTTCTCCATAGAGCCTGTGCCCCTGGCCCTCCCCTGAATGCCCACGGCCAGGAGTTCACTCAGGCCCAAGGGCTGAGCCCTTCTCTTCAACTTTCAGCCGAGCCCAAGGTGAGGGAGCAAAAGAGACGTCTGCCCAAGGAGAAGCCGCCGTCTGCACCGGGCCCTTCCCTGCAGCTCTCGGGGGAGCAGGTGCGAAGTGCTGTGGCAGAGTCCCTGAGGGAGGTGCTCTTAAAACGGTGAGGCCCCTTTGGATCTCCCTGGGAGACCCCAACAATCTGAGGTGGCCTCAGTTTCCCTGCTAGCCTGGCTGCATGTTCTGGTTAGAGGCCTATGGAACCTTAGAGATCATCTCGTCCAATCCCTCACTTTAGAGAGGGGGAACCAGGGACCTTCCTGGGCATTTATGAAATGATGAAGTGGGGGCAGACAAGCCCGGTGCTTTGGTGACTCGCTGGGTGAGAAGGGGGCCACAGGCACACATGAACAAGGCACTTAATAAGAGAGTACAGAGACAAGCAGCTAAGGGCATATGGAGGCAGATGGTATAATGAAGGGACCCAGGGGATGGGATGGCGGAGGGGGCAGAGGAGGGGAAGGGGGAGACGCAGAGACCATCGCTCTGGTGACCGTGGGTTAGAGCTGGGAGCACAGGGCTGCATGGATGCAATGGAGAAGGAAGAGGGCTCCGGAGACAGCAGCTTGGGACCTCATTTTCATAGGGTTTTTTTTGGGGAGGGGAAACAGACCAACTCCTAGGTGTGCCACCTTGGAGTTACTTCATTGACATGCCCAAATTGTCTCAGAGTTATCTGTAAAATTTCAAAGTTAACGTGTCCACATCATCTCAAAATTATCAGTAACATTTGGTATTCTTCCAGTCCCACTGCAAAGGTCTGCAACTTGTCCACATTTTTTAAATGACTGGGATTATCCCGTCTTGGGGAACATCTGCTGTTTCAGAACCCATTAGTAAAGACACTGGGCAAAGGTACAGCTTTGGCTTGGGGCTTGGTGTTTGAAGTGAGCTCTGACAGTGCGTGCCCTGCACGCCGGGCTCCTCTCTACAGGGGCCAGAAGGCCTGGCAGAGAGAGGGCTCAGTTCTCCTACTCACTGTCTGTGTGACCTTGGGCAAAGCACTCCCTTCCCCAGACCTCAGTCTCCCCATTTATAAAATGAGGGGCTTGGACTGGGTGGTCTCTAGCATCTAGTTCAGGAAGGATTCCCTGAGCCTGGGGTCGGGGAGCCAAACAAAATCAAAACTGAAAAAAAAATTGATAAAATATGATAAAATACCAGCCCACTCCCCAAACACTGGGCAATTGGCAACCAGAGGCCTATGACACCCCCTCCCCCAAGTGCTGGGGACCTGCCCTGGTCCCTTCCCACCTGTGGCTTCCTCCTCTCCCAGGCTGCAGGAGCCTGCCGACCTGGCTGTGGGCGAGGAGGCTGTGAGGGGCATCGCTGCCAACATCGAGGCTGCCATCTTTGAACTTATGCAGTGCACTGACTACCGCTACAAGACCAAATACCGAAGCCTGGTGTTCAACCTGAGAGATCCCAGGAACAAGGTGAGCCGGGGCGGGAGGGAAGGAGGCGGGGAGGAGGAGCTGAAGAAAGTACTCCCCTCCAAGTATCCAGCCCCAGCCTTCCCCGTCTGAAGTTTTGTGATTCTTCGGGGCGGGGGGGGGGGGGAGAATACTGTGCTGAGAGGACAGTGGGTGCCTGGGGGCAGGTAAGCCCATTGCACACGTTGGTGCTGCAGGACCTGTTCCTTCAGGTGATCCGTGGAGACATCACCCCACAGGGCCTGGTTCGCATGAGTGCCACAGAGCTGGCTTCCCAGGAGCTGGCGGAGTGGCGGGACCGGGAGGTGAAGCATGTGAGTGACTGGGCTGGCCCCACAGGTGGGGGCAGGGAGAGGGAGGCAGCAGGGGATAGAGGAGGGATGAAGTGATGGAGAGCTGGGTGGCTGAGGGCTGAGAAAGGTATCACGCTCTTTGTTTCGGCCTGTATCTGGGGGAGGAGCCCAGACACAGTGGGTGGGAGCAGCATCTTCCTACCTTTGAGTGGAGAGTTATCAGGCTCTGCAGTCACAAGGGCCCTAGAGGCCCTGGCGGCATTTGAGTGAGCCCAAAATAAATTAGGCTGTAGGCAAAGAAACTGGGAGACAGAGAACCACAGGGAGAGCATGCAGCCCCCATGTCCTTGGCCCTGGCCCTGCTCTGGCTCTGTGCCTGCCAGCCCTGCTCCACTGGGGAATGGGGGGAAACCGAGGGGTCAAATCTGGCCCCACTCTGACATCTACTTTGGGGGGAAGGCTCTTTATAAATCTTCAAGTGCTACGGAAATGCCGGTGGTTATTGTAATCGGGCAATTAATTTGATTCCTGGAACCAGGGGCCGAAGCCAGGGTCCCACTCCTAAGAGGCCCAGTCCTCACATCTAGGCTTGTCCCTGTGCATGCCCCCAGGGCCTCCCAAGTACTGGACACCTAATGGTTGACTGTTGTCGGAGCAAAATGACATCACTATGCTAGAGCAAGGTTTCAGTGTGTCCGACTGCGGCTTATCAGACTAATAGGAGCTTGGGATGTTCTACCACGCGTCGGACATGAGTAGTTCACGTGAACTTTTGGGGTGGATTCTCTGAGCACGTGTCTCGAGTTTCCTTTGAGCTACTTCAATTCTGCTTTGCTCACAGAGCACAGCACCTTCTCTGATGAGGGCATGCCATGCTGGGTGGTCCTGTACCAGTGTCTCCCATGTCACACAATCAGTTCCAAAGGTCTTCAGAGAGACCTTGCATTGTTGATAAAGGTCATCATCACTGAGCTTTGAGATCTCCCTGGAGAGGACAGGCAGCCAGAGAGCACCTACCTGAATCGATACAATGGCTTCCCCCAGGGAGACCGGTCAGCTAGGTCACTAAGATTGTTAAGATATTTATTCATTTATAAAATCCTAGAATCTGACTTGGAAAAGATCCAGTCTATACCTGAGCGGGACTCCCTTGTGCAACATTTCCAGTGAATGGTCATTTAACACTTTCTTGGACACCTCTGGTGACAGGGAACTCACTCCCTCAAAAAACAATCCATTCCATTTTTAGACAGTACTAGTTGTTAGGAAGTCGTTCCTTCCATCAAGGTGGCGTCCTGCTCTCTGGGGCCAAGCGGGACAAGTCTCATCCTATTGCCTCACAGCAGCCCTTCAGATACTTGAAGACTTTGAGCTCTTTGGGACCCCTCCCCCCAAGTCTTCATTCCTCTCCCGCTGATCCTTGCTTGGCGTGCTGTCCGGCCCCCTCCCCATCATGGCTCTGGCAGAATACTGAGTGCCTACACTCTACTATCTCCTGCCAGCCCCCCGCCCACTCTTGCTTTGGATAGATTGAATTGGAGCTTTGCTGCCCACACTTCAAATTCAATATGTTTAAAACTGAATTCGTCATCGTCCCCCCCAAACCTACCCCCATTCCTTAGTTCCCCGTGTTTGTTGGTGGTACCATTTCCCTCCCACTCCCCCAGATCTGAGAGCTCAGTTGTTCAGTCCTCCCCCCTCTCCTCCACATCCCCGCCCAGCCCCAGCCAGGTGCCAATTTTCCCACACTCCAAAACGTGTCTCAAATGTATTCCCTCCTCTCCAATTCCCCTGCCCCCAGCCTAGCCCAGCCCCCTACCCCATCTCTTCTCAGGAGGCCAACCCCCTCATTTTATAGTTGAGGAAACTGAGGCCGATAGAGGTAAGTGACTTGTTCAGGGTCACACAGCAGCTCAGTGTCTGAGGCAGGATTTAAACTCGGGTGTTCTGAGCCCAGGTTCAGCACCCTCTGCATTGAGCCGCCTGGCTGTTCTCATCTCCCTGAATCCGTCCTTGACACTACAGTGTGCTTCCATAATCTCTCTTTGGCTCAGCTTTGATCATGTCCCTCTTCTGCATGGCACCTTTCATTGCCTACTGAAAGAAGTGGCATTCTCATAGGGTGGCATTCAAGGCCCACTTTCCAGCCTTTGGCCCCCACCCACCTTTTCCAGTTAGCAGTGTGTACATCTGTCCAGCCTTGTGCCTCTTTTCTCCCTGCCCCCCATCCCACCACCAAGAATCCGTGTTGAAATGCTTTGCTTCCAAGGCCTAACTCAGGTTCCCCCTCCTCCATGAAGCTTTCCCTGCCCACTGCCCAGTGGTTCTTCCCTCCTTCCACCTTGATTCTCTCTGACCTTTGCTGTGGGAGTGGGTGATTTTCCACCTTGTTTTCTATTAACAAGCTGTGCCAGCCTGTGAGCTGCCTGTGTCGTACGTCCAGGCCCATGGGTCAGGCTTCTCTCTAGATACAGAAGGGACAGAAGGCCCAGACGAGGGCCCGGTTACCTGAGCCAGGTCCCCTCTCTGGTGCTCAGACCTGTTCAGGCGGCTCCTCCTCTTTGTGGGGATAGTAGCCCTCCTCTTCCTCCTCATCACCCTCTTCTGAGAAGATGGTCTTCCTGGGCTCATGTGGCTGAGAAACCTCGTCCCCTAGAGACACCCCAACTCTGGAGATCTGCCTTTGTAGGCGGGAGGTGTCAGGAGCCCCGCTGTCCATCACTGGGCCTCTGAGCCTTGTCAGCTTGTCAGGAGCTTGGGTTCTCACAAATGGCTTTGAGCACATCAGGGTCACTCTGGTACCCCCATGTAGCAGCTGGGTGGGGGGGACTGGTACATGGAGGGCTGGCAGCGATGGCACCCCCCATTTCTGTAGTCCTTTGAGGCTTAGGAAGCATTTCCCTCTGATGGTCCCATTTAATAGATGAGGAATGTGAAATGGTTCTAGGAGAAATGGTCCCCCTGAAGTCAGACAGCTAGGCTGCCTAAGAAATGGGAGTACAGGGCTCTTCCTATTATGCCCTGCTGCCTCCTCCTCCTTTCCCCAGTCGTCAGGTCCTACTGAGTCCATCAGTCCACAGCTCTGTAGCAAGTGCTTAGCTGATGTGCCTGGTACAGGGTGAGATGCTGCATAGAGAGAGGAGGAGTTGTATGTGGCAGACAGTATCAGAGAAGCGATGAGACACCCACAGCTGAGACCAGCAGAGGCTGACATCTGATAGACTGAATGAGGGCCACAGGCAGTCAGAGTGAGGAAAGCAGCCTATGTAGAGGGAAAGGTCAAGGAGTCTTTCTGGAGGAGTGGAGCATAAGCTGGGCTTCCATAGGCTAAGAGGAGGCATGAGTGCCTGCCATCCTAGCGGGAGAGGGGGAGCAGAGGTGTAGCCATGGAGCTGATACCAGGGAGGTAGAGGAGGCCAGCAGGCTGGTCCCTCCAGCAAGACCTCCTCAGGCCTGGGCCTTCTCTCCTGCTCCAGGGCTTGGAGATCATTGAGAAGCAGCAGCGAGAGGCTCCACGCTGTCGGGTCACCAAAGTGACCCACAAAGGGGAGATTGAAATACATCCAGATGTGGACCAGACTCTCACATTGGAGGACTTGACTGTGAGTGGGCCGTGCCCCCCATACCACTCTTGCCCTCCAGGCTCTCTGTTCTGTTTTTAAAACTTTGGGTTCCAAATCTTCTCCCTTCCTCCCTCCTCACCCACCCATTGAGAAGGCGAGCAACTCGATACAGGTTATACGTGTGTAGTCATGCAGAACACTTCCATAGTAGTCATGTTGTGAAAAACTAAGTATTTTTCCCTTAATCCTATCCCGCCCCCCTCCATTCTATTCTGTCTTTTGACCCTGTCCCTCCTCAGAAGTGTTTGCTTCTGATTACCCCCTCTCCCAATCTGCCTTCCCCTCTATCATCCCCCTGCTCTCTTGCTCCCTCCCCCCCTATTTTCCTATAGGGTAAGATAGATTTCCATACCCAATTGCAGGCTCTTCATTCTGCTGTTGGCCTCCCATACCTGCCCCCTCGGGTCTGGGCCAAGAAGAGCATCAGTGGGGGTATGCTGGCCACTGTAGGTAACATTGGTTTAATGACTAAAAGTGTCAATGAGCAGTTTCCAGCCCTGGCACCAGATGGACAGTCAGAAGTTCTGGGTTCTAGTTCTGTCACCTACTTGCTGTGTAATCTCTAGGCCTCAGTTTCCCTCTCTGATCAATGAAGGTATTGTACAAGACAGTATTTAAGTCCTAGAAGAGGATAATGGGAAGCCACTGAGAGCAGAAGCAGACTGGGGCTATGGAAGGGGCTGAGCAAGAGAATGAAATGATGTTTCAGAAATGTTCTCCTTTGCTGGGACCGTGGACATTATTCCTGACCTCCCAGCCCTTCCCTCCTTTATCTTCCCTCTGTCAGGAGCCAGCCTCCCGTCTGGACCTAAGCCTTCGCCCTCAGCCTGGGGCAGCTGAATCCCAGTCTGGGCGGGACACCACGGAGCAGCATGAGAGCCATTTCCTGGACCCTGACTGCCGAGTCTGCATGGGTGGGAGCAGGGCCTGTGGAGGGGGGAGTGGAGTGTGGACGTGGCTCAGGCCACGAGGGAGGAGGATGGGAGTGGGGGGAGCTTGGGCATGAATGGGCGTGAGGGGCTTTTGACTTGGCCATGGAGGGGGAGAAAAAGGACAGGAAGAGAGGCTGAGGATGGGAGGAGGACAGAAGATGGAAGAAGGGGCAGAAAGAGGAGAGGATCTGGGGTGACAGAAGAATGGAAGAACAGGTTGGAAAGTGGGGATAGAAGAGGGCAAAGGGGAAGTGGAGGGGGCAGAGGAGGGCTGGGGTGGCAAGGGGCTGGAAGGAGGCGAGCAGGGCACAGTGTCCAGGGAGGAGCTGGGGGGCCCTTGGGTTAGGGAGCGAGCTGTTGCTTGAGTCTTCTGGGGTCTTTGGAAGGTGATGCTCCTCGCTGGGCCCTGAGAATGGCTGCCCTTCTAACCACCCCCCCACCACTGTTGTCACATTAACTGGGGGGAGCCTGTGAGCACAGCTGCAGACCCTGTTCAGTGGTGCAGGAGAGGCAGGTGGGAACGGCCTTGGCATTCTCTCCTTTCCTCCTCCAGAGCGGCCTCGGCTCTTCGGTCCACATCCCAACCCCTCTGTCTGCACTTCACAGGCTGGGAGGCCCCTCGAGGGGGAAGAGGCTTCAATGCACCCAGGAGCACCCCACTCTCCAGGAGCAGAGTCACCAGCAACCCACAGAAACTTCCTAGCCCTGCTTCCTTGCCTCGAGTAGACACCTCACTGCCGGGGATGTCCAAAAGCAGAACTGGCACTCAGACCCAGCCCCAGGACAGGTCTGGGGTGGGGGTGGAAATAGGGAAGGGGGGAAGGGTTTGGGAAGTTCAGCAGAAGGGAAGTAGGGGTGCTTTGAGATGCTCAGATGGAGGCAGAGGGCCGCACAAGCATTCGTTCAGGACCAGAGAGGCCAGTTCGGAAGGAGGGTCATGGAAGCGGGTCAGCCCACCAGATTCTCTTCTGCTCTGTCCATGCCAGGCCTGAGTTGGCCTCCTGCCTGAGGCAGGTTCTGAAGCCGAAGGCTTTGCAGGGCCAGCCGTTGTGGGAAGGTGCCCTGGAAATGTTCTCCATCAAGCGATTCACCACTAAAGCCTTTCTGGTTCATGGCTACAGTAGCCAACTTATCCAGGTAACCTCCAAAACTTCCTTCCCTTCCCCCCATTCATTTCCTCCCTTCTCCCCCCTGTCTTTTGCCTTTCTCCTTCCCTCGCTTCTTTCTTCTGCCCATCCTCACCTTTCCTTTGCTCTCCCCTGCTTCCTCACTGCTCCTCCCTTCTCCCTGTGGAGGTCTGGGTGTACCCCGACTGGTCTACACCATGGGATTGGTTCCAGGTCTCTGGGAACAGCCATGTGGATCCGACCATAAGATCCTCTTTGCTTGCTTTTCCTCAGTCTTACTCCCTGGGAGCTGGTAACCACCCCCACACCACAAGCTAACCCATTTACCCACCCGTTGCAGGCTTTGCCCAAGGTGATCTACTCGGCAGGCTGCGTGCTCCCTGAAGCCGTCTGGGATTACTTGGACAGCATCTGGCCATCGGAAGCCAAGGTACTGGGAAGCTAAGGCTAGCCCATCTCCTCAGCCTATCTCTGAGTGCACCCAAGGCTGCCCTAACCCCACCTGCGGGCATGCCCAGAGCAGGCCGGCTTATCCAGGCTTATTACCCCCCCTTCCTCATCCATCAGACATCATTCAGTGCTTGCCCGTGTGCTCAGGCCTGGCAGAAAAGACAGAAGGACTTGGGATGCAGGGGACAGTGAAATAGGAGGGAATGAGCAGTCCAGGCAACCTGCTGGGAGCCACTGGGGGAGGGAGAATTCCTTTTCACCTGGTAGGGGTGCGGGGGACGTTCCTGGGGAGGCTGTGGGGATAAGGGAGCCCTGGACCGAAGCCTTAAGAGAGGGAAGGACTCGAGCAGACAGGGATTTGGGTTACAATCCATTCTGGGCATGGGAGCTGGCTTCCCTGATGGAAGAGCCCAGATGGGAGACAGGGCAGGGAGAGAGTGTGGGATAGAGAGTGCTGGGACGCAGAGGTCAGCGGTGCAAGATGGAGCTGGGACAGTGAGCAGGAGCCAGATTGTGGTGGGCCTTGAATGCCAAGATCTGGAGTTTATCCTGTGTTGGGTAGACAATAGAAGGTTTTAGAGTTGCACGGCGACAGGCTCAGTGCTATTCATTAAGAGGATTACTCAAGCAGCCCGTGAAAAGATGAATTGGAGAAGAGAGAGTCGGGAGGGGGAGATGAGCCGGGAGGCTCCTGCCTTTCCTCCCCTGCCCTTCCCCCCCCCACTCATCCGTGTTCTCCTGCTTCCTGCTGCCTCCCCTAGGACGTCAGCGTGGTCCGCCTGTGCCCTCGGGGGGCCCGGGATGCCCAGAATTACAACATGCTCTACTCCTACCTCAACAACAAGCAGCGCTATGGCATGGTGGCCAGTGAGCACCTGGACATGTTCCTGGTGCCCCTGCCAGCTTTCCAGCCTGTGCCCCCCAAGCTCCGCCCTCTGGGAGGCCCAGGTATGGAGGGCCAGTGAATGCGCGGTCAGACAAGGTGCCTGCCCAAGGTCAGGGCAAGGGAGGCCTGAAGGGAGAGCAACTGCAGTGAAGAAGAGGCAGCCTGGCCTTCGGTGGCATCAATGATGGCATTGTGGTCAGAGTGAGGGTGTTGGTGGTCTCCCAGTGTTCTGCCCTGGTCTCTTGGGCTCCATTCTTAGCTCACATTCCGGGGTGGACATTGAACAGCTAGGGTACATGCAGAGGAGAGTGAGGAAGATGGGGAGGAGTCCTGGAGCCATGCCTGCTCACAAAGAAGAGTTGCAGGAACTGGGAATGTTTAGCCTTCAGAAAGGGGAAGATTTTTTGGGGGGGCACAGAAACTGTCTGTGTGTGTCTGCAGGGCTGGATTCTGCTTGGCCCCTGGGAGCAAACCCCGAGCTGTTTGGGGGTGAAGGGGGGCAGCTAGATGGCACAATGGATAAAGCTCCGGCCTTGGATCAGGAGGACTTGAGTTCATATCTGGCCTCAGACACTTGACACTTCCTAGCTGTGTGACCCTGGGCAAGTCACTTAGCCCCAATTGCCTCACCAAAAACGCAAACAAGAAGAGAACTGTTTGGAGGTGAAGGACTTCCTTGGAGGCAGCAGGTTCCCCTTCTCCTGGGGGTCCTCAGACAGAGGCTGGATCAACCTAGGAGGGGCCTCCAAGACTGTCTAGGCCCAACTCTTCATTTATATATGAGGAAATGGAGGCTCAGGGGGCTGTGGGAGCTGTCCAAGGTCACACAGGTAGATGTCCTCCGAGGGGGCAGTTTGCAGCCAGGTCCTCGGACTGACCATGGACTGTATCTGCAGTTCTGTGCCTGGCCTTGTGCTAGGCACGAGGAGGACGGATGTCAAAGTGAGGCAGGCAGTCCCTGCTTTGGGGAGCCCACCTTCTCCTGGGGTACCTCATGTTCATAGGATGTGGGGCCTCTGATTTCTGAGGGCAAAGGGAAGTCAGCCCCTCTCAGAGCAACTTAGAGCCATAGGGAGTGACTGGGGTCAGTCAGTAAGCACTGGGAATCCTAAGAAGGACCCGAGGCAGTCCGTGCCCTCGAGGAGCTCCCAGCTAAGGGGGGCAGAGGAGGCGTGGAGCCCGCATCAGGGATGGGCTGCTGCAGGAGGCGGCCCAGTTTCCCAGAGGGCGACCGAGGGAGAGTGTGTCAGACTGCAAAGGCACTAAGGAGGGTGAGGTCCAGGTCATTGACGGGGGGCTGGCAGCGGGAGGCGGAATGGGGGGTGAGGGGTGATCACCCTAGAAAGGTAAGCTGGGGCCAGGCTGTACCAGTGGCTAAGGTGCTGGATTTGGAGTGAGTGTGACCTGAGAGGCGATCTGAGGTCACGTTAGCTGGGTGACCCTGGGCAAGTCACCCAACATCTGGGTGTCTCATTTCCTTATCTGTAAAATGAGGGAGTTAGATTCAGTGCTCTCCTAAGGCTCCTTCCCGCTGTGTGATCCTATCCTTGGCCTAGAGATAGAAGGCGGTCCCTGGAGCCTCTCTGTTCGTGGTCAGCCCTGCACTTTTGGGCCGGATGAGCTTGTAGAAAGGAGTGCTGTTCCATGGGAGAAAACGGCCTCAGGTGCCTTCCGTTTCTGACATTCTGTGATCTGGGAGCATTATCACTGTTTTTGAATATTTGAACATACTCAGTCCATCTGACCTCAGGGCAAGGCCGTAACTATGTTGAGGCAACTGGGGTTCTGCCAGAGGGCCCCAAACTGTCCATGTAGAAACAAGAGCTTAGCACCTGGTTAACAAGAATTTCTGGCTGCAGCTTTTGCTCCATGAATTCTGCTGGAGTTTTCCAGATGTGGCCTGGGGGGGGCCATCATTTCAGGGTCTCCTCCTTCCCTCACCCTGCATGTCCCCCCCAGGCCTGGAAGTCACTCACTGCAGCCTCGTGCTGGGTCTGATCCTGCCCAAGGTGCCACCGCCAGGTGATTCCCGGCTAAATGGGGCCAGCCCCTTGCAGAAGAAACGCAAGACAGTCACCTTCAAGGAGCCGGTGGAGACAAAGTGCTACTCCCTGGGGTTCAGGAGGCCCCATCGGGTTTCCAAGCCTGGGCCTTCCTGGGCCCCTGAGTCTAGCCTGGAGGGCCCCCCAGCCTGGGAAGGTATCTCAGACGATTTCTTGGAAGAGGTGGCTGGACATGTGGAGCAGGAGCAGCCCGATGGAGGGAGGGGACCCTATGGCCTCTCCTTCTGCTGCCGGCACGAAGCTTCGGGCCCAGGACCCGATGGCTCCTGCCCCCTGGGCAGCCTGGCCCCCCCGGATCCCCTACCCGCCTGGGGTCAGTTTGGCGCCAGTGGAAGGATTCGGGGTCAGCGAGCCCAGCCCTTTGTGGATGGTGTGGGCCCTGGGCTGGTGCCTCTGGGTGCACCGCTACACCCTGAGTGTGGAGGCCTATCTCAGGAGCTGGGGGCCCTGGCCTCCTCCAGCTGGCTGGCTTGTTCCACTTTGGCAGCGCCCCGGCTGTGGCCCTGGCCCCAGTGCCCAACCTGCTCTCCCACCCTCCGGCTGCCGACTGCTACCATGCCTATCCTGACCATGCTGCCACCACCTGTCCCCACACTGCTGCTGTGTGCCCTCCCACTCACACCCCTCTCCTCCCTGCCGGGGAAGCCCTGCCTCTCATCCAGCACCTCGAGGCCCTGGTGAAGATGAATAGTCAGCTGCAGGCCTCCTTGCAGATGTCTGCACCAGACCCCTCCCTTCCTGGGCCTGGGGCTGCAGGGGCCCCGGGACCAGTGGGGCTGGCGGGCCCAGGTGGGGAGGCAGAGAACCATGTGTGCCCACCACCTTCCCTCTTCCTGGCTCCCTTCTGTGGATCTGACCAGCCGCCTCCCCCAGGGAGCCCCTTATGCCCATGAGGTTCAAGGCCCCCACTGTCCTCCTAGGTGTGATGCGCCCAGGCCCCTCGGGGTCCTGTAAGGGATGCAGTCAAGCCCGAGTGGCATCTGGACCTCAGAGGGGGCTGTGCCTTCCCCTATCCCCCAAGTGAGTCTTGAGCCACTTTCTAGGCCAGCGTGCCTGGGGGGTGAGCACCAGTGCCCACATGTTGGCATTTCCTGTTCTGCTTGTTTTTGTTCAGGGTTCAATAAAAAGTATCCGCAAACCTTTCAGTGTCTCCTATCCCATGGGGGTCTCTGTGCACAGGTGGGGGAAAGTGGCCTGGGAGCCGGGCCTATGGGGCCCTGTGTGGGATGGGGACACAAAGGTGATCCAGGTCCTGTCTTCAAGGAGCTTGGACCGGATAGAAAATAACCATGGACAGGGAGGCTTCCCATGGCGTGGGTGGGGTGGCCCTGGAGCAGAGGTGAGAAGGGAGCTACCTGGCATGGGGTGGGGAGGGGCCACAACTAGGGTGCAGGAGCCTCGGGGAGATGGAGTGTCCAGATGGCGAGAGAAGGAGCCTGGGGAGAGACGAAGGGGCCCGCCTGGGAAGGCTTTAAGTGACAGCCGAGGAGCTGATCCAGAGAAGGGTCTGGGCTCAGAGGGTGTTGTGAAGGTGGCCCCCCCAGCCCCAACCTGCCTCCCCCCATCTTGAGTCTGTGCACAGGCATCACTGGGGCTGTCCCTACTCTGGGTTTGGGGGAGGGGCGGGACCCAGACTGGGTGGGGCATGGCGGTGAGAGATGCCCTGCTTCCAGGAAACACAGGGGAGCTGGGTGGGGGCTGTGTAGGAGGATGGGCAGCTGCTCCTGTCCTGCAGCTGGCAGCAGGGGGCGCCCTCAGCCTGGGTATGGATGCCCCTTCCCTAGACTGGAGCCAGAGCCTCTGTGTGTGTGTGTGTGTGTGTGTGTGTGTGTGAGAGAGAGAGAGAGAGAGAGAGAGAGAGAGAGAGAGAGAGAGAGAGATGGGGGAGGATGACCCCAGCCTGGCCCAGGCACATGTCAGGCCCTGGGGGGAGCTGAGTGGGCAGGCGCTCTGGGGCACACGTAGGTGACACGTTTGAGCCAAGCACAAAGAGATGCTGGAGCCAGCATCCTCCCACACCCCATCACGGAGCGATAGAACCTTGTACGTGGGTGAGAGAAAGGCATGGCTTTGCCATAGGGGATCTGTGAGACTATGATGAAGGGGCAAGCCCAGGGCAGTTGAATGGGAAGCCCTGGGTTCGAATCCTGCTGCAGGCGTGTGCCACCTTGAGCAAGTCACTTCTCTGGGTCTCAGTTTCCTCATCTGTAAAATGAGGGGGCTGGACTCAATGACTTCGGAGGGCCCTTGCAATTGAAAAGCTGGGATCCTATGAGCCGATGGCCCTTCCATGACTATCTCTGCAGTCCATGGAGGACACCCAAATGTCTGTGTCTCTGAAGCGGGTGACTGGCCCCAGAGTACTCCCAGCAGGGAGGGGAAGACTGGCCCCAGCTCCAGCCAGGTGTCAGAGAACCGTTACCGGTCCAGGCAATGAGCTTTATTAAGCTCTTACCCATACCGAGAGCTCGGAATGTTTTAATGGTGGAAGACAAGCTGAAGCAGGAAGGGGAGGGGAAGGAGGAGGGGAGAAGAAAGTACATGGGGGTTTGGAGGGGAACCACAGGAGAGTGAAGGCAGCAGCTGATGGTGCAGTGGATAGAGCCCTGGGAGATGATAACTGGGAAGTGCAAGCACTGAGTAAATTATCTAATCATTTCACAGAAGAGGAATACTGAAGTCCAGAGAAGGAAATTGACTTGCCCAAGGTCACACAGCTAGTAAGTGGGCAGAGCTGAAACTTGAACCCAGCTCTTCTGCCTCTAAATCCATCGCTCCTTTCCCTTCTGGGTGCTCCTGTGTATACTGGAAAGTTGGGGGGCAGGGCAGGCAGGATGGGGCCCAGCCTCAGGTCTCTAAGTTGAGCAGATGCTCCTGAGGCCTCCCTGACAAGGCCCTTGATCATCATCATCAGTGCCCTGGGATGTCTGAACATGGGGGCAGCTGACTGGCGTTGGTTCCCGAGGGTGGTGAGGATACCAAACTGACCCCAGAGAGCTGACCCCAGGGCTCCAAGAGTCTGCTTCTCCTTACTGACTGATCTCTACCTAGACAGGCCCTCTAAGGCAGCTTCAGCCTAGGCCCCTGGCACACACCGAACCCCCTAATAGTGCTAGAGCATGGCTGAACGTGGAGGACACTTTGCTAGGCCGCATCATTCCGGAACTAACGGGGTCCCCTCAGGCCATTTTCTGGCCCATTCATTCAGGGCTTCCATCCCACTGATATGGCCCGGCCCAGGGCAATGTCAACTCCCCAGTCTGACACTTATTAGCTATGTGACCTTGGGCAAGTCTCTGAGTCTCAGTTTTCCCATCTGCAGAATAGGGATAATAATAATAATAATAATCCTAGCATTGCCTACTCATAAAGTTGCTGGGAGAAAACCTTAGAAGACTATAGAAATGTATGCTATTGTTATTAAATATCCCCTACTTTCCTCCATGGCAGTGATAGGTTCACAGCTTAGGGATCATTAAATCCAATTGATTAAGCATTTATTAAGCGCCTACTATGAGCCAGGTATTGGGCTATCACTGGAAACCCCAGTACAAAGAATACAACAATCCCCACTCCAAGGGAATTTATATTCCAGTCCAGCTTATGCCTTTGATCATTTCTGGAGGTCTCGTGGAGTTATTAGCTTCTAATTGGCCAATTCTAATTTTTAAAGAGTTATTTTCTGGGGGCAGCTAAGTGGCGCAGTGGATAGAGCACCGGCTCTGAAGTCAGGAGGACCTGAGTTCAAATCCAGCCTCAGACCAAACACTTGACACTTACTAGCCGTGTGACCCTGGGCAAGTCACTTAACCCCAATTGCCTAAAAGCAAAAAAAAAAAGAAGTTATTTTCTTCAACAAGACCTCATGCCTCTTTTTCCAAGTAATTATCTTTTTATATCTTTTTTCTCTAGCTCTTAATTTTTCCTCTATTATTTTCAATTTGTTTCTAAAATAATTTTTTGCCCCCCCCCCCTTTGGTCTCTTGCTTTAATTCTAGGAATTCTTGCTGGGCTTCTGTCCAATCTGCATTGTTCTTTGAGGTTTTGCTCGTACATGTTTTTGAGTAATTGTCTAATTCTGAGTTTGTGGGTTGAGCTTCCCTGTCACCATAGTAACTCATTATGGTTTGCTTATTCTTCCTGCTGGCTCCTTGGCTGTGGACTTTATATTAAGGCTGGGAGATGGGGTGTGGGGGTGGGGGTGTGGATATACGGCTTGAGCTTCTGTCCTTTTGTGTCCTTCTGAGGTTTTCACAGCCCAGTCCAATGAGGTCTACAAGCTCCCAAGTTGGTGTGATCCAGGGGAAGGTCTGTTACCAACCTGTTGGCCTGAACTTTGCAAGTTCCTGACCCAGGGTAGGGTCTGCTGGTCCATCCTTGGAGTTTTGAAGACTGTTTGTGGACTCAGTCACTGTTAGACCACTGAGATGGTTCTGCATGTTCACAGCGACCTAGCTGCCGACTCCCCTTTGGTCTGGGGTGCTTAAATCTGCTCCTGGGGTGAGGGCCGCACAGCTACAGTTTCCTTGTTCAGGATGTGGGGATAGATCTCACAATGGTGACCCAGAACTGGGAGGCGGAGGACAGGGCTTCCAGATGGCTCTCATTCCTGCACCCAGCACTTGCTTGGGCATCCCCTGGGATCTCTTCCTGCCCTGGTGCTCCATCTTGGCCCTCTTTCCCTCCTCGGGTGCTGGAAAGCTTCCCATTGTCACAGCTCCTTCCCTAGAGTCTGCCTGCAGACCTCTCTGTCTGTCTCCCTAACCCACTCTGGGCTAGAAAAATGATTCATTGTGACTTAGTCTTGACTTTCCTGATCGGAATGCAGCCCAGTGCTGCATTCTAGAGCTTTATTGAGTAGGTAGGCTGGGATAACATGCGTTCTCTCCCTCTGTCATCTAGATTCTACCTCTGCCCTATCATTTTACAAGAGAAGGAAACTGAATCCCAAAAGGAAATGAACATGGCTAGGAAGCCTCAGAATCAGAATTCGAACCCAGATTCTCAAAGAATGCCAAACTTGGTGCTGTTTATGTCTCATTGCTTCTGAAGGGGTGGAGATAGGGGGAAAGGGAGCAAACATTTATGAAGCACTTACATGTGCCCAGGCATTGTATTAAGCACTTTACAAATATTATTTGATAAGACAGGTTCACAGGCTTCTTTGCTGAGGCCTGGCTAGTCTCTGGGAACTCCACACGCTCCCGCAAATGCTGACATGAGCTATCACCCACAGACCCCACCTAAGCTACACCTGAAGAAGATACTAGGACTCAACAATCAGGAAGACCTGAGTTCAAATTTTGCTCCAGACCCTTGCTAACAATGTGACCCCGTGCAAGTCATTTAAACCGCTTCTCTGCCTCTATTTCCATCTGAAAAATGGGAATAATGATAATAGCATCTCCCCCACGAGGATGTTGTTAAGATCAAGTGAGATAATACATGAAAAGCGCTTTAAAAACCTTGAGGTGCTATCATTATTATTGGCAGCTTGGTGGCCCAGTGGCTAGAATGCCCTGGATCTGGAGTCGGGAGGACCTGAGTTCAAATCCAGCCTCAGACACTTGGCACTTACTAGCTGTGTGACCCTGGGCAAGTCACTTCACCCTATTTGCCTCAGTTTTCCTCATCTGTAAAATGAGCTGGAGAAGGAAACAGCAGATCACTCCAATATCCTCGTCAAGAAAAACTAAACGGGGTCACGGAAAGTCGGGCAGGACTGAAAGGACTGAACAACAATAATTGTTATTATTATTACCCACAAAACCCCACATCTGTTCCTCGCCTTCCTGACTACCCCCCAACCTTTGGTGGACACTGCAGATCGAAGCTTCCTCCCTCAGCCTTGCCAGCCGCCCAGTCTATTCATCTGGGTTCTAGGCCCACCTTAATACCCTCCTCCGTAGGGCAGTGCCTATCTTTTGCCTGTTTTGGGGGGATTTTGTTTTTGGTCTTTTTCGGTGAGGCAATCAGGGTTAAGTGACTTGCCCAGGGTCACACAGCTAGTAAGTGCCAAGTGTCTGAGGCTGGATCTGAACTCAGGTCCTCCCGACTCCAAGGTGGAACCGTAGTCACCCCGCCACCTAGCTGCCCTTTTTAGTCCTTTTTGTATCCCTAGCACTTAGCACAGTGCCGGGTAG